TCTAACATCCATTTTGGTCTTTTCTTCTTTTCCTTCTTTTTAATGACTATTTGCTTTTTTCATGGATGATGTTCTCGATGTCATCCCACAATTCTTCTGGTGTTTGATACTGGTGTTCACTACATCAAATCTATTTTTCAGATAGTCTCTAAATTTAGGAGGGATATAATCCTCGGAAGGAAGGTTGGGCAATCCTACTTCCGTAGTGATACTGCCTCGGAAACCCAAGGAGGGGTCGCTATGAGTCGGGGCCGACTCGACGGCACATAACAACAACAATAATCAAGGTCATATTTTGTCTCTCATGGACTTGTTTTAATTGTCTTCACTTCAAATTGACCTTGCATATGAGCAGGGTTCCACAATCAGCTCCTGGCTTTGTTTTGGCTGAAGATATTGAGCTTCTCCATTGCCTCTTGCCACAGATCTAGTCAATCTGGTTCCTGTGTACTCCATCTGACAAAGTCCACATGTATAGCCACTGTTCGTGTTGTTGAAAAAAGGTATTTGCAATGAATAAGTCGTTGGTCTTGCAAAATTCTATCATGAGATCTCCAGTGGAGTTTCTACCACCAAGGCTATATTTTCCAACTACCCATGATTCTTCTTTGTTTCCAATTTTTGCATTCTAATCACCAGTAATAATCAACACATCTTGATTGCATGTTTGGTCAATTTCAGACCAAATTCCTGGAGACTTGTTGGTAAAAATCTTCAATTTCCTCAACTTTGGCTTTTGTGGTTGGTGCATAAATCTGAGTAATAGTAATATAAACTGGCTTTCCTTGTAGGTGTATGAATATTATGCTATCACTGACAGTATTGTATTTCAAGACAGATCTTGAAAGATTCTTTGTGATGATGAATGCCACGTCATTGCCTGCACAGTAGATCATATGGCTGTCTGATTCAAAGTGCTCCATTTTAGCTCACTAATGTCTAGGATATCAATCTTTATGCATTCCATTTGATTTTTGACAACTTCCAACTTTCATAGATTCATACTTCATACATTCCATGTTCTGATTATTAATGGATGCTTTCAGCTTTTCTTTTAGTTTTCCTACATTAGCAAATGGAGGTCCCTAAAGCTTTACTCTCTCCACATCATTAAGTTTGGCTCTATTCTGAGGAGGCAGCTCTTCCCTAGTCATATTTTGAGTGCCTTCTGACCTGAGGGGCTCATCTTCCAGCACTATATCAGATAATGTTTCAGGGGTATTTACAAAGTTTTTCAGTAATTTATCAGAGAGTGTTTTACCACTATTCATAAGGTTTTCACTGACCAATTCTTGGAAAAGTGGATGGCCTCTTCCTTCTTCTGAGTCTGTCTTAGTGTGGAGGCTTCGCTGAAACCTGTCCACCCGGGGTAACCCTGTTGGCATTTGAAACACTGGTGGCATAGCCTCCAGCCTCACAGCAACACACAAACCACCACAGGATGACAAAGTGACAGAGAAGTTCTTCTCCCTTAGCTGTTCCAAACTTTTCCACTCCCACTTCCTGGGCTGCCCTACTGTTCTGGCCCTCCAAAAGCCATCTGGTGCCACTTTCTGGACTGCTCTACCTGTTCCAGCCTTCCAAAAGCTGTCTGCCACTGCTTCCCAGCTTCCCCTACCTGAAGATTACATCAACTTAATTCATGTCACCAACCTTCACTTGGGCCCTGTGTGATGCTTGGCAGATCTTCTCCTCATTTCTTGTGGATTATTCCATTCTAGCCAGGGACCATCCCAAAGCTTTTCCATACTCTTATTCTTCACCTCTGCCTTTTGAGGAAGAGGGATATTTATTTATTTTTCTGGATCAGGTGAAAGTCATCCATGTTACACTGCAAAAATGGCCACAATGTTTTCCCCTCTTATCAAAGAGTAGAGCTATTTCTCCACTCCTTGAATATGTTTTAGCTTTGTGACTTGCTTTGACAAATGGGACAGTAAAGGCCTGAAAACTGCTGCTCTTAAAGCTCTGGGAATACCATATGTGCAAGCCTGCCTAGACTGCTGGATGATCTAAGACAGTCTGCCAAATGATAGACATGTGATAAAGGTCACCCAGATCATCTAGCTTCCAAGAAACCCATTAGTTGACTACAGATGCACGAGCAAGATATACAGACACCAGTCAAGCCAACCTAGTCCAACCAACCTAAAGAATTATGATCTCAGTAAATGGTAGATGTTTTAAGCTACTAAAATTAGAGGCCATTTGTTATGCAGCAGCACATAAGCTAACTAATACGCCTTATGTCAATGTTCTAACTTTGTCAGAGTTCTTTTATACCCTGAAATTCCTCTTAACTTATTCTTTTCCCTGGATCAGACTGAACATATCCTTTCCCCCTTTACAAAAGCAAACAAACAAACAAACAAAAAAACCAAACTCACTGCCGTTGAGTCAGATCTGACTCATAGCGACCCCTCCTTGGGTTGCTGAGGCAGTATCACCACGGAAGTAGATTGCCAACCTTCCTTCCGAGGAGTGGCTGGTGGATTTGGACCGCCAACCTTCTGGTTAGCAGTCAAATGGCTTAGGCACTACACCACCAGAGCAGAATTTTCCCATTTCTCTTGATTCAACTCTTCCTGGGAGCCTTGTTTCATTATGTGCCCTTCTCTTACATTTCCCTTCTCTTGCTCTTTATTAGTTCCTATCAACAACATACTACTGTCCTCCAGAATGTCATTTTAGATCTTAAATTATTAATTTTTTCTAATCTGGTCTCCACCTCCATCAACCAATCATCCTTGATTCAACAGTAATTTTGTGGTTTCACTTCTCTCGACATGTCTATAATAGCTTCTCAGAACATTTTTTTCTTATAGAGCAGAGCTTTTTTTTTTTTTTTTTTCCCC